GGGGGGGGGGGGGGGGGGGGAATTCTGGGAGTTGAAGTCCACACATCTTCAAGTGGCCAAGGTTGAGAAACACTGATCTACAGCATTTCCCGTCTATCTAGAGTCAAGGCTGTTTATGTTTCAAAATTACACTGCAGACAAGAACAGAATAGACCTTCCTGTAAAACTCTATTTGCATTTTTTGGAAGAACTATTAATCCTTTTTAGAGATAGTGTTTGGATGACGCTTGATGAAATCCGAACAGTTTTATTTCCAGGTATCTGGGGATGAGGATTCAGAGCTCTGCATAAGTCTTTGTCCTCCTATGTCTGGCAGGGAAAAAGTAAGCCATAGAAAATAGGGATTCATGCAACCATTCCCCTGTAATACAGATGACAAACATTTTTCTGATTTGTAAGTGTAATTTTTATGCAGTCTCTCAAAGGTATGCAATTGGTTGCATATATTTTCCAGTCATTGCTTTGTCTCTTTTTATAGTTCTTTATATTTCTTCAGAGGAAAGGCAGCATATGTAGAATTGCAGGTTCTCTCCCATCCCATCGCTAACAGGCCCTGCTCAGCTTAGATTTAGCATCCTCTGTCTTCCAGGCTGGTTCTTAGTCCAGACCCTTGCATTCCAGTAAAGGGAGCCTGTGACCCTCGGAGATGGGGCTTAATTACAACTCCCAGCATTCTTCTCTGTTACCCACCTTGGATGGGAATTGCGGTTCAATAATATCTGAAGCACCTCAGGTTCCCCACCTTGTTCCTGGCATCGCTGGAGCTCCATCTAGGAGTATATGCTTCTCATGCAGGTGGCTCCAGTTTCAGTCACTTGTGGATACACAAGATTTGGGGGAATGTTTCAGATGGTCCGTGGAGGCAACCAGCATTAGTTCCAATCAAGCTATATGCCCTACTCTTTAATGTAACCTAGACTGTCCAACAGTATTATCATTTTCAACTTCTCTTTCTTGCAGACTGCAATTAGGCTTTAACCAAACAGGAACAGGACAGATATTCCTGAATATTTCTGATTCTGCTCTACCTGGGTCAGTGATTACAGTAACCTTGCAGGCCGACAATCTTGACTCATCTGCAGATCCTGATTTTGCCCATATTGATCTTCTTGTGATGCCTCAACCTTTGGTGAGTCATGGGTGAAGAAACCATGTTGGAAAGGGCTCTGAAGGAGAGCACTAACTGGATGGTTTGGGGAGTTCTTCATTTCTGACAAAAAGAATTTGATGGGATCAGATAGGAGAGCCATCTCATCTAGTAATCATCACTGCCTTGAGCAGCGATGATTAGTAGATAGATGCTACAGCTCTATCTTTATGCACAGTGAGATGTTTCCCAAAGGCGGCAGAATTTGAGAACAGGCAATGTCAGTAAAAGGGATGGAAAACATCTGTCTTAGTGGGACATGTTTGATCTGTGCAGTTTGGGTACTTCTTGACCGTCGCAGCTAGCTAAATGACCTAATGTGTTTGTTCTACACTAAGTAAGTGGACCCTTGATGATGTCTTGAATTACAGCTACAAGAGATTCTGGAACTAGAGGCCACATCTAGGATTTGGAGCCTAGGGGGATTCACTGGTCACCCCACTGGGCTGCATGCATTCTTAAGCAATACAGTAAACTAGTAATATTTTTATAATATTGGCAAGCGACTTCGAATGGCAGTACATTGCCATAAAGTTGCATCTGCTTTTCACAGGTATATTATTTAAGACAATACTGAAAAAAAAATATTATTTCACACAAACACTTGCCACTGCATTCTTTTATCTGTTACAATTTGTCCTCGTTGTTCTTTCATCACAGGTGGAGACCATCTCATCCCCAGTGTGCAATGTCACATCTTCAGAGAATTCCTGTGGTCCACCACAGTCCCCTTGCCGCAGCCAACGTTGGACAGCCACCTTGCAAATCTGGGACAAAGCCGGCATCCGCTCCGTGCAGGTGGAAGAAGGCCCTGCGCTTCCTCACCGAGCACACGGGCTGGTGGAATTAGTCACTTACACCTCAGACTGTTGCTTACAGCAGGCGGAACTGGTGGTCACCAACCTGCTTGGGGAGAAATATAGATGCCAAGTGGCAGTATTGCCCCCTGACCTTCCTGGCAAGACAGTAACCCTAACTCCAGAGGATTTTAGGATGGTGGCAGATGTTGCCAGTGCTGCTAATAGAGCTGTTGTTCCTCCTTACACAATCTGGTGGTGGATATCAACAGTCTTCTTGGCCGTGTGTAGCTACGACCTTAAGGCCCCCATTTATCATGTATGGGAGGCTGCCCTCTGCTGGGAAATGATGGCATTTCACCTTATCAGAGAGTAAAGTTAAAAAGAGGGGATGGGCTGAGCAGGAGAGCAATATCTGAACGTTGGTGCCTGTGAAAGGAAGGAAGGAATTCCTCAAAGGAATTGTTGGATGTCGCACTGGGATTCACAGTCAGTGTGCAGGAAGTCACTGAAGTCTTCCTACCTGATTGGAAGAGCTGAGTTAGAGAGCAAGAATCATTCTCATTAATGGGCAGAGCATCCATGAACCCAACCTTGTGTTGAACCTAGCTGTTGATCCATGTGGTCAGGACTGTTAATCTATCAGGTGGCAATTTTCCAAGATAAGCTTGCTCTCTTGGATGATCTGGGCTCCTTGATTTTTTTTTTTTTAACTGGAGATGGATAGAAATTGGAACATCTGTATGCAGAGAATGGGGTTTAGCACTGGGATATGACTTCCCAGGAGGAAATGTCCAAAGGCCTCTGGGGGCCTGAACCCACAGTCTTGCTGCTAGGAACCACAGGCTTTGATGGACAGCACTAGTTTTGGGCTTGCTAGTCCCACAGGCTGAGCACGCTGACCCCATCTCTTGCAGCGTTCCCCCCCCTCCCCCCCCCCCCCAATGACCCTGCCACACATTGCATGGTGCCTGCTGTTCTTCTTCTTCCAGCTTCTCCAAATGTTTCTGGTCTTCAGTGCAGAAGTTTATTTCTGACCATAGGCATATGCTGCCAATTATTTTGCTCTTGACTACCAAGAAATGGGATTGATTTTGTTCTGGAGCAGCTTCTGCTAAAACAACCTTCCCCAAGCTGGTGTCTTTGAGATGTGTTGGACTTCCACTCAGCATGAAAGGAATGTAACTGAAAGGCACAAGGTTGAGGAAATTTGGAATGAAGGCTCCTAGAAAGTAGAAGTTTAATCACAGCATGCTCTGGAAAGCTGGCAGGTCCTTCACTGTGATACATATCATGCATAAATGAGATACATCTCAATTTTACTCTATAATGATTGCGCTATTGATATAGAAATGATTACAGATAGGCCAAATGATTACAGATACTGTAATGATTAAACTGTGAACAAATAGGCATATACTAACCATTAATTTACATCATTATGTAGACAACCAACATTCTGTGAAGCATAGAAAGCATTAATTCAAAACAAGTATTATGCCACTTTGTAACATTCTTTAGGAAGAGAAGGGTGTAGTATTGAATAGAGAGAATGGTTTGGGTTGTAAAATATTAATCTGAGTGTTAAGGCAAACATTGGTGGCATTCCAACTTCTCTGTGTAGAGAGAAGGAGATCCAGAGGGATTCTAGGGGGAAGGCATTGAGTTAGGAACAAAGGAGAGAGGCTTTTAAAATGGACAAAATATAATTTTTATTCCATTCAATGAATTTTGAATATTCTTCCTGAGGGTACTAGGAAAAACACAACACTGTTTCTTATGTGTCGTGCGTGGCTCTCTTTGTATTACTCCATAACAGTTACCCAGTAATAACTCCCTTTGCTAGGTTTTTACCATTGGGCTGAATAAGAATGGAATTTTGTGCATCTTAAAAAGCTCCTGTCTTTACACAAGACCCTCTCCGGTGATGGTGGGGCCATTAGTCACAGAACTGTTGTGTTGTCTACTTCACCCAGTCTCTTCCGCACTTGGAATCTCCATTCATTTGTTACTATCTGCAGATAACATGATTTCACAGAAGGGAAACCATTCATGATATACATCCATTCCACTGAGCCATGCAGGACCTCTTATGCATTCCCATTTCCCTGGTCATCTTTGAACCAAAATTCAAAGATAAGGGGGGAAAAAAAAACTCCAGGCAGTGCAAGACCTGGAGAGTCATTCCAAGTATTGGGCTGTGGGAAGGAAGTCAGTAGCTTTTGTCCAGTAGAGTTGGTACTGAAGGATGAGTTGTCTCTTCCCTTCCACTTTAGCCAAGAGATCATCAAGCAGGGCTCTGGATCTCAACCTTCTTCTGTGTTGCTAGGGAGTTGAGCCCAAGAACAACCTTTCTTAGGTTCATTCTTATACCTGGTCTTGGATAATTGTGCTCCAGAGGCTTTAATGGTCTAACATTCCTCATCTCCAGGATCTTGATGATGGGCTGCTCCACCCTGCCTCTGAATTATCTTCCCTCCCCTTTTGATCATCCTCCCCATACTGGTAAACCCTTTTCTCTCTTCCTTCTTCCCTAACATTTCTTTCATGCAACCCAGATTCCTTATAGTGGCCTATTCATGTTTTTGCCATGGGACATTTGTTCCCAGCCTTGGTCTTTTGGTTGCTGCATCAGCTTCTGCACCGTGAGCCTCAAAGGAGACACCTGCCAGACAGAGTAGCTCAGGGGGAAAAGTTAGAGGTCCTGAAGTGCCTGGGTGATAATTTTTCCTTTTATTTCCTCATTCCCCGTTCCTTCTTCCAGCATAAGAAGGAAAGGGGGATGAGAAGAGAAAAGGAAAATGAAGCCAGCTGAGCTCTTTTTCAAAAGCTAGTGTAAGTCTCATATTGTTTTGGGCCAAACCCTGGTTTGTTTACTCTGTGAACAAAAGCATAAAAAACAAACCAGGAAGAATCCAGGCTTCTAGATTCATCTATAGTGTCACGCCATGGTTAGAAGAAGCCAGGATTTCTCAACCAGAAATAAACCTTGTTTTCACATTTCGTTTTGTTGCCAAACGTAACCGTGCTTCCTTTCTTTGAAAATGCACAAATCACAGGATGACAGCATGCACAAAATGTAACCAAGCCTCTTTGTAAGGAGACGGTATGCGTGAAACAGGGGAGGCAAAAGAGAAACTGCTTTTGAGCAGATGCAGCACAAGCAGGTAACACTGAGGCACGTAGAAGCCTTCATTGAAATGTGTGAATGGAGTGCTCGGCCTGAATCCTCTATTCTGGGGAACTGCTGCTCCAGGACCACGTATGGAATCTAACCCTGCCTTTTTTCTGCAACTTTCGACCGTGCTAATGAATTTTGGCAGTTGAATTGCTGAAAATCAGCAGCACTGTTTGCCCATTTCTAGATTAGGAGACAAGAATGATTTAGTGTAAACTTTAAAATCACCTCGTAAGTCGATTAAAAAAGAAAGCAAGACCTCTAAAACAGAAAGAACTAAAAAAAAATCATCCTCACCCAAGGTTACCCAGCCATTCTCATTATTCTGCCCACTGCAGTCCGTGAGCTAAATGCAGATCCCAATCACCAAAAATGACCCATCTCCCCTACTATATACAAGTAGTCCTCATTTAGCAGCCACAACTGGGACTGGCAGCTCAGTCTTAAGCAAAGCGGTCGCTAAGTGAAACCGCAATTGTGCTTATGATCTTATTTCAGCTTTCCTTTGCTTTACGGACCTGCAAAGGTTGTAAATATGAGGACTGGTTGCAAAGTTTTTTTTTAATCACCATCATAACTTCAAACAGTCACTAAATGAAGCAGTCACTAAACGAGGACTACCTGTAATGGATATGTTTGGCCAGTGGGGTGGGATGGGGGGAGAGTAAGAACACTCTTTGGGTGTTCAACAGAAGAGATCTTGCCCTTCATCCAATAGCCCATCTCAATAGTCTTCTCCATGACTTGTGGTCAGATCTCCTGCCTTCTTTATTGACTTCAGAGTAGCCATAAGAACTTGCTAATACGATTGGGGAAGCAAGTTTGGTTTTCCAGGTCAGAATCCTTAGTGGTTACTACCTGTTTCTCCACAGGCAACGCCAGGAGAAGCAGAAAGCAGTGGGAGCTTTCAGCCTGAACCTCTTTCAGCTGCTCTGAATAGTGAGCGTTAGACCTGATCCTTTTCTGGACTCTTCCGCCTTAACCTGGATGCTTACGTAGCCTCCAATTGCCTGTTTGTGCGACCCTATTCCAGTTCCCAGAAGCCTTTCCTAATAAATCTGATCTATATATTTTTGCCTACTGACAAATCTCTTTATATTTGTATGCAAATTATTTTTTTAGTTCCAGATGTTTTTGTTTTGGTTGTCTGTGGTGAGTGCCTTTTGTGAATATGGAAATAGAGATTTATGTAAGCAGGGTTTTGGAAATTTGAGCATGAAGTCAATAAAGTCAACTTCAATTCAAGGCAAAGCATTTGCTTCCTTAATGTTCGTTGTTTCAGCACTAGAGAAGAAGTGGATCACTTTTTCGCTACCCGTTTTTCCCCATGGAACCCAGTTCAAAGACATTCAAATACTTTTAAAATTTTAATTGCACATTCATTTCAATACATTGCATGATGTTAACCTCGGAATAAATACAAAAACATTTTTAAAAGAATGAAATAGTTCAATAATTGGGGGGACCTGGGTGGAAGTGAAAGGAGAAAGCATTAATAATGTAATAATGTACTATACCAACTTTGGGATTTCTTTTTTATGTAGTTGCTTATTCACGCCAGCAAGGGGAGGCAGCAACTAAGGAAGGAGAGAACGACTGGCAAGTTTGCCAACAAGAGAGAACTGCTCCTGTCTGTGCTCCTGCACTCTGAAGATGCTGGTCACAGGTGCTGGCGAGACGTTAGGAAACAAAACTTCCAGAACACGGCCACACAGCCCGGAAGACCCCCACCAGCCATTGCCAACAAGACTTGATTTTACAATGACTCGCTCAATGTTCTGGGCCTGACGGTGAAACAGGCCAGTGATGCAGAATGCAGGATCAATAGGAAAATAATTACCTCTCTTCAGGTTCAAGTCTGCCCCACACAGTGAGGAATCCCAGTTTAAAGCGTCGTTGACAGGTGGCTGTCTGACTTTCAGCAAAAGTAATTAATTCCATGCACTAGGAGTTCTCCATGATGTGCCCCATGGAGGTGCACAGTTCCCCACTCGCACAGCAGAAACAAGCCCTAGCAACTTTTTAGTTCTGCAACGTCCCCATGATTTGGCCACCTGCCCGTGAGGGGGAGAGTCTTCAGTAATCCTTTGCTCTACTGGTGTTAAATAGTCTTTCTTGTTGTATTTTGACAGCATCAATGGCAGTTAGAAGGTGTGTTTGGTTTGTTGGACCATCACCCAATACGCTGGAGGCAACTACAGAAGGGACTACAGAAAAACCAGGAAGAGAGCTGAAAGGGTCAGGCTAGGAACTGACCGGGGGGCCACCGAACATGCCAGTAAAGTTTTCACTGAGTCAAGGAGAGCTGAATTGCACTTCAATTGTGCAGAAAGACCTAGCATCTACTCTAAATGTACCTTCCAAATTGCCAAGTATTTAAACACAGAAATGCCCAAATATCTTAGGGCGGCATTTACTCAAGCAAGATTTGAGCAGTTGGACACAATGGTTAAATATGGAAGATTTAACCAAGTCCCTTATACTGAACGCACTTGTATTTGCAGAGCTCCAGAGATAAAAGACTTAACACAT